ATTTCCCAGCAGCCCCTGCACATGTAGCTGGGGCCAGTTTCCATGGAGAACCCAGCAACATCCACAATGATAGAGTGGGGCCAGGGTTTCTCTTGAGACCAGCCCCAACAGCACTGCCAGGCAGCAGTGGTACCAGCCTCTGGCTGAGGGGGGACTGCACTACAGGTGGGAGCGGCATGGGCTCAGCTGCCATCACCTGTGCAAGGTGGGCAGCGGTGGTGACACTAGGAGGGGTGGCTATTGGGTGCTATGGAGAATTCTGAGTAGCTATATGCCCTCTCAAGCTTCTCTCCCAGCAGTGCCCCTCCTGGCAGGGCATGGAGCTGTTCGAAAGCCTGGCTAGGATCTTGCAGCAGTAACAGCATGGTCTGGAGCTGAGGCAGAGCCATGATCTGTACCCTGCATGGCTCTGCCCAGGCCATACAGGCTGCAGATCGTGGGTCTGCCACAGCTCTAGACCATGTTGTCGCTGGTGCAAGATCCCAGCTGGGCTCTGGAGCAGCTCTATGTCCTGCCATGCACCCTGCCAGTGCTGCTGGGGCCGGTCTCCATGGAAAGTCCAGCCTCATGGTATCACAGTGTGGCTGCTGCTGGGGTCTCCATGAAAACTGGCTCCAGCCACACAGGCAGGGGCTGCTGGGAAATAGAGTCCAGCTGCCAGCCAGATCTGCCATTTTTTCCCACCCCCGACTTACATCAATAGCATTGCACAAACACAGCCAGACAATTCCAAACCATACTTTTATCTCTGTACCAAGCAAACTTCTTGATGCTTCAGTGCTGGTCCACATCCTGCAAAACACAAAGAGAAAAAAGGAAGGGGCTCAACCCACTTCATTAGCTTATGTTATGGAATCACTTTTGACACTGAGGCTGGCTTTGCTTACAATGGGCCCTGGCCCTTGTCATGCTGCAGCTCATCCAGAGATTCCTCTTCTTGATCCTTGTAGATGCTGCTTTTTTAATAGTCCTTTCTTTTCAGTGACAGGTGCTCCAATGTGTGCCCTGCCACACATCTTTCCTTGGCTTCCATCAAGGGGTTTTCTGTTGGGGTATGCTCCCCCAAGCCTTCTCTCAAATGGTGACCCACAAGGTGGTGAGAGACAGGGTTTTCAGGTGCCATATACTTGCGTTTCTCTGGGGTGGCAACATAGAGTCATAGAAAATTAAGGGCTGGAAGGGACCTCAAAAGATCATTGAGTCCAGCCCCCCCTTCTCTGAGCAGACATGTGGCATCTTGTAGAGACTACTTTGCCATGAGTAGCTCCACCACATTTAGCCAGTCCCTGGAGAGTGTAGTTTTCAGGGCTTACTGAAGAACAAACTTCAGGCTCTTTTGCCCTGGTCATCTTCATGCGTCATGGGCAAAGTCTCTCACTTTTGGGCTTCTTGGCTCCTCCTCAGACTAGTTAAGATCTCAGGCTCCCAGCTCTGGCAGTCTTAGCAGTGGTCTCTTTGACCTCTCTAGGGCCCTGCCTCTGGATTGCCAGACCCCTTGGTCTTTCAGGGCTCCTCTGGACCCCTTTTGGGCTATGGACTCTTGAACCCCTTTGGTCTCCAGCTGTGTCCCCTGGACTTTGACCCCTGTCTGAGTTGTGGCCCTGCTCCTGGGCCAATGAGATCTGGCCCTGCTAACACTTGAGTTTCCTGGGCTTCAGACCTCTGGCTCTCTGGCCACACTGATACTTGGCCCCTCTTGGGCTGGAAGATCTCTCTCTGTTTCTCCTCCACTCTGAACCTCTGGTCCCACTTTCTTCTGCCCCCTCCTGGGCCACAAGTCACTGTCTCTGACTCACACCTTTCAGACTGAGTCCCTGGCTTTTCATGCTTTCATGACCTTTGGCTGGGCTCTGCTATTTGGCCCCCAGTCTCAGTCCCTTTTTTGGACTTTGTGGGTCTGTTCTCTCAAGTCCTTTCATAGATCTCTCTCTCTCTCTCTCTCTCTCTCTCTCTAGCAGTTCTCTGAAGTCCCCATACTCTCTTCTGGGTTTTAACACTCACTGTCTGGGTCTCCTTTAACTTTCAGCCTTTCTTTCCCTTGACAGATCTTTTAACTCTGGCACTGCTTTAAGTATATTCTTCCTTGCCTGCAGGCATCACAGTCTGTGCTTGTCAGTGGCCCCTTCTGGCCTTGCTTTCTGCAGAGCAATCCAGCAAAGTTCTGTCTCGTCTCTTTGACAGCAAAGCTACTGTCCTCCTCCATCCAGTCAACAAACCACACACAATCTTTTGGGAAAGCATCCAGTCCTAAAATGAACTTCAAAACCATGCGTCTGTTTTTTTTTTAATTTTTTTATTTAATTTAATTTTAAAGGCACCTTTGATAAGACCCGTGGTGTCTTGTTTTGTTTGTTTTTTTGTTTTTTGTTTTTCTTACTCTGCTTCAGACTAGCTTCTCGGCACTGACTCCTTGTTTACACAGCTGCACTGTGAGTGTTTGTAAATGCCTTCCTGCCTAAAGAAACTTAACACTTTTCCCTTCTAGAATCTGCCTTGCTATTCTTGCAGAAGGGAGAGCAAAGTCATCCCTCACCTCCAATACCAATGCACAAATTCCTCTGCTACTGCCTTGCAACACAAAGGTATGCTAGCATAATAAACCAAAGCAGCAAAAAGAATATGCTGGTGTCCAGTAACATTACTTGTGCCCCCTCCTAGCCTTCTATGATTATCAGATGCCTCCAAAAATCAAATTTCTGGGGCACTGTCTAGTTTGAGGGACACACAGGATCACAAGGTATCTGTTTCACATCTGTCCCCAGTGTCAGGTTGGGGCTGGACCTTTGCTGCTCTTCCTTTAACTGTGTCCAAGCTCCCTGAAGCTGCATTTCCTGGATAATTCTGGCTTGCCATAGGGTGCACCTGTAACTTCCAAATTACAGTCTCCAGAGCAAACATACAACACTGCTCTATAACCATGCCATTAATAATCCATACAAAGCAACCCTCTCCTTTTGCAGAAGCAGCCTTGCTTACAAATGCCTCAGCCCCGGGACTCTTTCCCTGCAGATTCACACATTCCCCCAGCAGAGATCAGTTTTCTCTGTTCCTGGCTTCCGAAGTGGACCACTGCACATACCCTTGGCCAAACCATGAACCTCAGACATACTCCAAGATCAGGTCGTGACCCTGTCTTCCTTATAGTTGCTGCCCCTTCCACCAACATACCTATACCCATGTACACTACTCTTTCTGACCCAGACAAACAACCACCCCCTTGGTCAGCAGTGCAACAAATAACCTCCCGCACAAAAGACTCTGACACAAACATGGTTATTTAGCTTACAAGCCTAGTTGGAACTACCGAATGGCTTCACCTTACAAACAGGTCTCCACCCATAGCTTTATAGCCTTACCCCACTATGGGATTTGTCTGACCCCTCTAGAGAGGTTCACTCTGTGTCAGCAAATTCCCTGATTAGCCAGGTTACTGCCCTTAAGTCGCAGTCCCAGGGACCCAGTCACCAATTGTTGGCACTGGACCTGGTCCCAATCCTTGAGTCCGTCACTGTCCTGGTGGAGTCATCAATTGTTGGCATTGGATTTATGACCCAGATACCATGTTCTAGGTGGACCCAAACTCAGACTGACCACGGCCTCTCCATTTGATAACAGACAAATTTTATGGATACACCGTGATCGCAGATAAGAATAATGATACAATTCTGTATCTACCAGTCCTAGGGTTCCTCATCTCTGTGAACATCTGGCCAGTATCCAAGCATCCCAGGTGACCTATCACCTGGACAAGGGAGAAGAGATTGATGTCATATATCTTGACTTCAAAAAAGCTGTCGATTTGGTATCCCATGATCATCTCTTGGCGAAAATGCCCAATTGTGGCCTTGGGTCCAGTTTTGGGCTCTACAATTCAAAGAGGATGTGGAGAAGCTTGAAAGAGTCCAGAGAAGAGCCATGTGCATGATCAGAGGTCAGGAAAACAGACCTTACGACGACAGGCTGAGAGCTATGGGGCTCTTTAGCCTGGAAAAGTGCAGGCTCAGGGGTGATCTGGTGGTCACCTGTAAGTTTATTGGGGGTGACCACCAGTACCTGGGGGAACGTTTGTTCACCAGAGCGCCCCAAGGGATGATGAGGTCGAACAGTCATAAACTACTGCCAGACTGTTTCAGGCTGGACACAAGGAAGAATTTCTTTAATGTCCGAGCCTCCAAGGTCTGGAATACCCTGCTATTGGAGGTGGTTCAAGCACCTACATTGAACAAATTCAAGAGTAAATTAGATGCTTATCTTGTTGGGATCCTATGACCCCAGCTGACTTCCTGCCCTTTGGGCAGGGGGCTGGACTCGATGATCTTCTGAGGTCGCTTCCAGCCCTAACGTCTATGAAATTTATGAAATTCCTCTGAGATTCTCTCTTGAATGTCAGATGTCAGCAGCCTGGAGGCCCATGCTCCCTTCCCATCCCCCAGTGGGGTGAGTAAAATGGACTTGTGGTATGTCCTCTGTCCCTAATGGCCTCTTGTGGACCCTTTGCTGCTCTAACATGACTCTTTTTGCATTCTTTCTTTCATCTGACTCTCTTTATCTTTGGGCATTGCTGATTGAGCTCTCTAAGGTAGTCATACTGTCCATGTTCTGTCCTGTCAGCTAATCCCTTGTTTCACAAACCCCTCACATGCACCCATCTTAATTGGGCTCTTTCTGGTGTCCTCCTAATTTAGTCCATTAACCAAAACTGGAAATCCCAAGGACTCTCTGCACATGGGAACTGTGACCTGGTGCCAAAGCTGCAGAGTCCATTATCTCATGTTATGGGACAGTGTGGTACATGTCTTCAATTTCCCATCCTGTGTGTTGGTTTGCTGCTAGCCTGTGTCAGATACAGTTGGCCTTGAGGAAACTTTGTTACAAACAGGCTTTTTAGAAATCAATTAACTCTTGCCATTGCCCTGGGCCATTGTTTTAATGCATATTTATTTTACCTACAAGTCAGTTCCCAAAAGAAAACCTCTAAATACTATTTTTCTATCCATCAGAGCACTCCTGAACTGTGAGTTGACCATAGCAGATACCACCATTGAGTCCATCCCCACAGCACCCTTGAAGGAGATCCCTCACCAACCTTCCTATCCCAGAAGTCTGGTATGCCATCTAGGAACCCAAAAACTGGATGGCATACCTGCTGAAATCTACAAGACTGGCAGTGAGAAAATGGTACTGAGACTCTATGAATTTATTTTATGATTTTGTAACAGTGAAGTGATCCTGGGGGACCTGAGGAGTGCCAACATTGTGACTATCTTCAAGAAAGGAGGTAAGTCTGTGTGTGGGAACTATTGAGGTTTCACCCTCCTTTCTACAGAAGGGAAAATTGTTGTGCACATACTCTTGAACCATCTTCTACCTCTTGCTGAGGAAGTCCTGCCAGAATCTCAGTTTGGTTTCATTCTATTCTGTGGGGAAACTGACATTAATCTTTGTTGCCTGCCAGGTCCAAGAAAAGTGTCAGGAACAACATCAGGACCTGTATATGGCCTTCATTCACCTCACTAAGGCCTTTGACTCCATCAATGGTGAAGGCTTTTGGAAAGTACTGGCCAAAACTTGGATGTCCTGAAAAGTACATTAAAGCCCTGAGGCTTCTTCATGACTAGACTGTGACCATCTTATGTATTGGATTAGAGACAAATCTGTTTGTCATCCAAACTGAGGTCAAGAAAGGATGCGTTATCACCCCAACTCTATTCTCCCTTTTTGGATTACTCATCTTGATTCTCATTAAGGACCACCTTCCTTTCAGAATTGATTTTCAATATTGAATGGATGGGAGGGTTGAACTCATAAGTCCTCTTGGGATCTATCAATGAGCTGTAGTAGAGATCATCCTTGAATCGAGGGATTACTGATGACAACCCTTTGTGACTGAAATGTTTTTGACAATTTTTTGTTTGCTTTGCTTTGTTTAAATTGTGATTAATAATTCAGATAAGGTGGGTAGAAGGGCTCTACAAAGCTTCGGGTGCTGATCCAATTCAGAGGAGTTTTGGCCTGTTTTGGTGGCCAAATCTCTGAATTTGAATTGAATCAGGAGACCAATAAAAAGGTCTGAATCAATCTGAGGCTCTCTGAATCAGTTCAGAGAGCTCTGGAGACTTGGGCAGTCCCCACTTGCTACTGCAGGGAGCTGGACCTGGACTCCGTGCTGGTAAGTAGAAGGTGAGAGAAGGGGGAGGAGACCATAGGGGGTTCCCCACTAGGCCCCATCTCTGACTCGCACCCACTCTCTCAGCCCCCCCCCACATGGTTGCCCTGCTTGACCCCAGCTCTGGGCTGCCCTGCCCGACCCCGGGGATTCTGGGGGCTCATGGCAGAGCCCCCCCACAAAGCACGGGGCAGTGGTAGGCAATAGGGATTGCTGTCCTCCCTACCCCCTGCCTGGCAGGAGCCAGTGAGCCCAGGGTTTTCATTTTATTTACCTTTTTTTTTTTTTTAAAGAGTTGGGAGCTGGAGCTGGGGCTGGGTGGGGCAGCCATTGTTGGTACTAGGAGAGTGGGCAGGGGATGGGCCTATCCAATTCAGAGATTTGGCCGATTTGGCAGCAGCCAAATCTCCGAATCAGATTTAGCTGAATTGATTCAGGACAGTGATTCAAATCGCCAAATTGAATCACTGTCCCCCAAATTGGCTAAATTCAAATCTGATGTGAATACTAGCTGCTTCGCACAGACCTAGTGGGTAGTACTTTGTGGTATTAAGTTTACCTGAAACTTTCAATTGTAAAACTATTGAGTTGTTTCAGCTGCCTTTTTTTTAAGTATTGCCATATCTTAACCTTTTTATGGGGAAATATCATTTAGAACAGTCCAACTGCTTCAGAAGATTAAATTGGGAAAAATATGCTTTGTTTACACTACCAAGATTCTGAAGACAACATTTTTGTTCTTTGAATATGTCTGTTGGCCCCATGCCTTGAAGCAGGGAACTGAAGGTTGACATGAGTGCCTCTCTGAAAATCCACTTAAATCTGGTCAGGTTATCGGCCTCTGGGAAATCAGCAGGCTTACATGTGCTCCGCAGAGACTTTAGATATAGAAACAGTAAAGGACTTGCATAGCACAGTGGTTCACTTGAAGATGTCTGGCTTCCAGAGTGGAGTCCAGAACCTTGTGGTAGGTGCCAAGACTACTTATACACAATGTACAGGGGGAGGTGGGCATCTCCAGAGGAACCTGCCCAGATGCTAACCAATAGGAGATAGGAGCACAGGTGGGTGCATTAAACCCTGCCTTTCTCTGACTCTGAGCTGCAGAAAGGCATCTCCAGTCATTTGGGATCCAGACTCCTTTCCTGATGGCAGGTACTTTTGTTTAATCTTTGAGAGTAGAGCATGGCTCTTTTTTTCCTATGTGGTGGTAGCTAGAGCCTACCTTTCTATGTAATGCCTTGAGTTAGAGCAGTGTCCCTGAAATGGGAGACATGGGTTTCCCTGGGAGCTAAACCTAAGTCTCCCCTTTGTAGGAGAATGTCTTAGTCACAAGCTTAGAGACTGTTCTGGCTGGAGGTACTCACTTAACACAGTTCTTCCTGTTCAAACTATGCCACAATGCAGCAAAAAAATTAAGATTTATCATGTGAGGAAAGGAGACAGAATCATAGAGACTATCACAGTAATCTGGCCTCTAGCACAGTGGTGAAGAGGAGGAGCCTTGGGCAGGGGCAACGTGTAGGGGCATGACAGTGTACCTCCTACAAAAAGGTGCCGCCAACAGTGGGTGCTCGCCATTTGCACCTCCCTCCCCCCCACCCCCCCAAGACACATTTCAAGAGGGATGTGGACAACATGGAGAGGGTCCAGAGGAGGGCCACCCGCATGATCCGGGGACAACAGGGCAGACCCTACAGTGAGAGACTGCGGGACCTGAACCTATTCAGCCTCCACAAGAGAAGGCTGAGGGGGGACCTGGTGACCGTCTATAAACTCACTAGGGGGGACCAGAAGGGTTTGGGGGAGACGCTGTTTCCCCTAGCGCCCGCTGGCATAACAAGGAGTAATGGGCACAAGTTGATGGAGAGGAGGTATAGATTGGACATCCGCAAAAACTACTTCACAGTTAGGGCGGCTAGGAGCTGGAACCAACTTCCAAGGGAAGTGGTGCTGGCCCCTACCCTGGGGGTCTTTAAGAAGAGGCTGGATGCCTACCTGGCTGGACTCATTTGAGTCCCGTTTCTTGTTTTGGGGTTTTGTTGTTCTCCCGCCCTGGCGGGGGGTCGGGCTAGAAGATCTACTAGGTCCCTTCCGACCCTAAATCTATGAAACTATGAAACTATGACACCGCTGGAAGCATCTGCAGATGGTCAGCAATCCCCACTGGCCACTACTGACACTGCCGGTGGCATCTGGTCAGCGCTCCTCACCCCACCTCCACTGCCAACAGTGTCAGTGGCCTCTGTGGGAGCTCCTGCTTACCATTGCTACACTCCTGCCTCTACCTTCCCGCCACCTCTGTGCCCCGCCAGCCACCAGGGGCACACGTCGTTCATGGCCTTGAGTACTTGTCCCTATTCCCTCAATTGTTGTTTTTCATTTTATGCAATAACTGTTGAATATAAGTATCTTAAGCAAATGCTTGAGACCTTTATTATATATAGCCTTTGGTTATTAGGAGCTACATTTCCCACAGATTCAATCCTGTGATCTGAGCACAACTTTCCCTACAGTTGTAGCTCTGGGTTGTGCCAGGTTGTGCTGAGTGCTATACAGGTGCTAAGACACTCTTTCCTGTTCTCCTCTGGTGAAGAGCAGGGAAAAGAGAAGGCAGGCACACCCCAATAAAGCTGAGAAACCTGTGGACCACTTCAGGCACCCACCTGAGGGTTGTTAAGCCTCTATACACTACCAACCTCCCCATTAGATTTGAGGGACACCAAAGAGTTAAAACCTTGTAGAAATTGGCCTACTGCCTGGCCCCGACCAGAGGTGCAAAGTACCAAGCAAAACCCCACAGGATGTAAAGTTTAACAAGTCTATTAAGACAAGAACCAACAAAACCAAACAGCAGTATACAGGCACAGTAAATAGTTAAACTATAGAACAGCTAAGAACCCACTGCCAGCCTGTCACCCGAGGGGGCCGACTATCACCCCAGAGAGCAGACCAGCAGGGCAGGCCTGCTCTGCAGCCTCACCCCCCTGAGAATTTCTATGCTGCTCCCTCATACGCAGGTGGGTACTGAGCACCTCAGAAAAGGGGTAGGTGATACTTTACCTGACTGATGTGATGTGCAGAAGTAGTTGAGTGGCTGGCAAGTGTTCAGGTGATCGGGACCCTCCTGTCATTGCTCCCGAACACTGTCCCACACACACTGTTCTCACTCGCTCCACAGTCAATAAACGATGGGTTCCACAAACACAAGTACCTGAATACTAAATCAGTTGCACATACACACACACCAGGCAAAAGAGGGAGAGAGGGCAAGCTAGAGCAGATCTCAATGAGCTCTAACTCCAACAATGATTCCCAAAAGCCACCCCGGCCCCTCCACTGGACAGGCTTTATAACGTCTGAACCACGCCACCTGTCAATCACGTGCAGATCTGATCATTACTTTCTTAATCAATGCCAATCAAACTCAATTACAGCTAGGACCATACAAATCAAACTAACCCAACAACTCATAATAACTCATTAACATAATGGTCCTAACTGCTGCAGTTCCCCTGGTTACCAAACAAACAAGTAGGTACTCATCAAACAACTCACTGCACAGGCTTAGCTTTCAGAAGTGGGTCATGACATCATTAAGGTTAGTTCAAATGTGCTAGAATACTCCAACCTCTTGCCATCCTACGCATGTGTAATAATCCCAGGACTCCACTGTCTACACTGGTGGGCCCAGGTAGGTTGATGGAGAAAGCTGACACTGGACCAAGAATGTTGTTGGGAGGGGAGGGAAACGGAGACTAGAGGCTGATACTTGGACCCAGAGGTGGTCTGGAGTGGAGTCTGGTACACGATCATGAAGTTAAATAGTGCATCATGAAACACTTGCACACATGGGTCAAGTTAAGTTGCACACATTGGTCAACCATAAAGTTGTTCTTAGTTTTCAAGCACTTGCTTTTTACACCATATTTATGATCTTCTAACACAGTTTTTGTGTGCAGTTATAGAATCTTTTTATTGATCGATTGATATACCAGCCTCCCCAGAAAAGGCCAATTGTGGCTTATAATACAAATAAGGTAAATTTATTTTAAAAAAATAGATAACATAAAGCAGTATGGAATAAATAACAAACATCACATCCCCCCTCCAGTGTTCTAAAACATAATCCTGTCTGCTAAAAGCCTTCCTAAATAAAAAATGGTCTTAGGATGTTCCCTAAAGATGTCCAGGCCTGGGCTGTTGTGGGATACATAGCAGGGAATGGTGGAATCTTAAGGAGATGCAATATACGTTTTTTAAAGGGACATTGTGTAAATAGATACCCCATATTTAAAAACCTGTATACTTTCCTAATTGACGCTGGAAGGCTTAGTTCTTTCACTTTTTTCTTGTGTTGATTGTGATTATTAACATTTTCTGTATTTTTAAGACTATGAGTTGGTCATGGAGTAGGGGAACTGCTCTAATGTTCATTTGACAGATTGCTAAAGCTCTTAAACTCTGGGCTCAGTAGCTGACCTTGAGTTCCCATCTTTATCACTTTGCAGGATCCCATTCTGTGACGTCTTGTGGCATGTATCGTTAGAGAAAGGCCTACCACAACAGGTATTCAAATGCTTTATGAACATCTAAATATGCATATTCCAAAACTGAGGCACAAAATATAAAGTCTTTTGCAAAGCCAGCTATCCTTTCTTCCAGTTCTGTATAGTTGCTCCCTTATAGAATAATAAATTAAGATTTACCTGGTATATATCATTACAAATATGTCAATATTTAATATCTAAATAATATAGCTAGCTTAATGCATTTCTTAAAGTTTAATAAAAACACAAATTTGAGCTGTTTCATTCAGTAGTGAACCTACATTTATATGAAAATAATGTCTCCTAAAATAAGTGAATGTATAAAAACTGT